CAAGAGCCGACGAACTCGCATTCTTCGCACCTGCACAACAAGCTACTCCCTCCAGAATTGATACGCGCTGCTCGGAAGATTTCGCCACTGAATAATTCATGTGACAGCGCTGAACGGCATATAGCTACATTATGAAGCGTGCGTCAACAATTTGCTTTGAACGTGCGCTCAATGAGAGGAAGTGCACTTGCTGGTCGATTCCCGCAAAAAAAAAACGATGCATTTACTGATCAACGTCTATTTTCGGACTACGACGATCGAGTTTGCTCATTAAAACATGAAGTAACAAAGAAATCTCTTCGAGCCTTATTGTTCAGATCACTTTAAAAAAAAGCCGACATATGAGAGCTGTGCTATTTTAACTTTTACTAATGATGTATTGAACGTGATTCATTCCAAAGCCAGAGCTCTTCACACGATCAAACGAACTCTTCGTAGGTCCAGAAAACCCTATTTATGGGATTATGTCAGTGAGGATTCAGAAGCCATAACTGTTTGACCTGATCAAGATTAAACGAGGGATACAGCACCGGCTTTCTATCTGAATGACAAAACCAGAATAACCACGAGGTGAAGTAACAACGACAGATAGCTTTTGCAAAGCAAAGTGTTGAACTGAGGAACTAGTTAAGGTCTGGACATGAATGAAAGGTTCCAAAACGAATTTCTGCTTCAATTTACTAGTGTCCTTGCCTATGGATTGCATCTATGATTCGTTGTACAATATTTCCTATACAATTCATATGGCAATCTGGCAAAGGAAAAAAGAAAAAGAAACTTGGTAGGACGCGAAACAATTGAATGAGCAGATAAAGGATCGAGGGATGTGGTCTGAAAGTGAACATCGCGAAAAAATATCCATTTTTTTCTTCAGGGGAAGGTAGCGGGCCAGTGCAAAGCCGGAAGCGAAATGGTTCACGTACCTCTGGGGGTGGGTACCCGACAGGAGGCCCGTTGCGCGGCAAGAAGGCAGGGTCAAGGGACGAGTCGCACTATCGGTTATAGTCGTCCAGTTATATGTACGCCTTACATCGCAGTGTTATCTGTGGTGTACGATTATGAATGATTTTATTTAACTTGGCGCGAAATCACAATACTGCGCGTTGCGACTCGTCCGCTGAATCGCCTTGTTGCCGCGCGACGGGCCTCTTGTCGGACACCCACCCACGGGATTCCCTGCCCTTGTAAGAATTGGAATTTCTTGGTGGCGCAGCAACTGTCGCCCCATG